CTTTTATTTATTTATATTTATTTATACTTATTTATTTATATTTATTTATTTATTTATTTATTTATTTATTTATTTATTTATTTATTTATTTATTAATAGTATAAATATAATAAGAGTAAGGAAACATATTATATACAAACAGGTATTTAATAAATAAATAAATAAATAAAATAAATAAAATAAATAAATAAATAATATAAATAAATAAATAAATAAATAAATAAATAATATAAATAAATAAATAAATAAATAAATAAATAAATACTTACAGCAAGAGTAGATAATCCAAGAGTAGCGCCAAGTTTTAAGTCAATTAAATCACCACATAATAACATTAAACTGCAGCAGCAGCAGCAGCAGCAGCAGCAGCAGCAGCAGCAGCAGCAGCAGCAGCAGCAGCAACAGTAGCAGTAGCAACATAAATAATAAATATTTGCTGCTGCTGCTGCTGTTGGTGTTGGTGTTGCTATTGTTTGTGTAGATGTAGCAGCAGAAGCAGCAAATATGTAACAAAAACAGCAGCAGCAACAGCAGCACGAGCAACAGCAGCAACAGCAACAACAGCAGCAGCAGCAACAATAGCAGCAGCAGGAACAGCAGCAGCAGCAGCAGCAGCAGCAGCAGCAGCTTACCAGTTATCCATGAACCCGAAGCCAATATAAGGTACAGAACTTCTAAGTACAATTAGTACAATTTGTTTGCTGCTAATGGGTTGCTGCTGCTGCTGCTGCTGCTGCTGCTGCTGCTGCTGCAGCAGTTGCTGCTGCTGCAGCGAGGAACCTGCTGCTGCTGCTTCTGCTTCTAGCAGCAAAAGTTTTTGCTGCATTTGCTGCTGCATTTGCTGCTGTTTTATTATGCTGCTGCTGCTGCTGCTGCTGCAGCCACTAAGAGGACATATACTCTTACTATTACTATTGCTATTGCTGCTGCTGCTGCTGCTGCAGTCTTCAGCAGCAGCAGCAGCAGCAGCAGCAGCAGCAGAATCATTCCTCCTCCCCTTACTCCTCCCTCCCTCCCCTACCATAACTTTTTCCTCTTGTTGCACCTCTTTCTCCTCTTGCAGCCGAATTTTTTGCTGTTGCTGCTGTACTTCTTGGTGTATTTGCTGCTGCTGTTGTTGTTGCTGCTGCTGCTGTTGCTGCTGCTGCTGCTGCTGCTGCTGCTGCTGCTGTATAATAGGTATAAAATGTAAATAGTACCAAGTCCTGAATTCTCTATGAGAAATTAATCCGTCCCTATTATCATCTATTAAACGAAACCAATTATCCACCATCTTGCTGCTGCTGCTGCTGCTGCTGCTGCTGCTGCTGCTGTTGCTGCTGCTGTTGCTGTCTAATGAATTGCTGCTGATGATGCTGGTCCTGCTGTTGCTGTCTAATGAATTGCTCATGCTGATGCTGCTGTTGTCTATGGCAGTGCTGCTGCTGTTGCTGCTGTTATTGGTGCTGTTGCTGCTGGCGGTGTCTAGTGAAGTGCTGCTGCTGCTGTTGCTGCTGTTATTGTTGCTGTTGTTGTTGTTATTGCTGCTGCTGCTGCTGCTGTTGCTGTTGCTGTTGCTGTTAGTCTTACTAGGGTTGGCCTCCTTTGTGGTATTCTTACTGCTGCTGCTGCTGCTGCTGCTGCTGTTTTTGCCGTTGCTGTCGGCATTCTTACTTTTCCTGCTTCTGCTGCCGTTGCTGCTGCTGCTGCTGTTGCTGCTGCTGCTGCCTTTGTTATTACTATTGCTGTTTCGCCCGTTGCTACTCTTGCTGCTGCTGCTGCTGCTGCTGCTAAAACGTGCTGCTGCTACGTTGGCTGCTGATGCCACGTGCAGTGCAGCAATACGAACATTTGCTGCTGCTGCTGCTGCAGCAGCAGCAGAAGCAGCAGGCGTTGCTGCGTACTCGGGTACCAGCCATTGTCTGTATGGCTGCTGCCTTCTGCTGCTGCTGCTGCTGTTGCTGCTGCTGCATGCAGCATTGGCTCTAGCTGCAGCAGCAGCAAAACAACAGCGGACAGGCAATGCACACATCTGGTTTGTTGGTGTAGCAGCAGCAGCAGCAGCAGGTGCTGCTGCTGCTGCTGCTGCTGCTATTGGTGATGATGATAGCCATGAACGTGCTGCTGCTGCTGCTGCTGCAGCTACTGGCCTTGAAAATATGTGGAGTTCGTTTCCCCTGCAATGCATTGCTGCTGCTGCTGCTGCTATTGCTGCTGCTGCTGCTAGTGATAAGGCTAACGCTGCAGCTGCAGCTGTTGCTACTGTTGCTGCTGCTGCTGCTCCTGTGTTGCAGCTGCTGCTAGGGTGTAGGGGAAGCAGGAGCAGCAGTAGCTGCTGCAGCGGCAGCTTCGGCCGCTGCTGGCTCTGGTGTTGCTGCTGCTGCTGCTGTTACTGCTGCTGTTGCTGCTGCTGCAGCTGCCAGCAGCAGCTGCTGCTGGGAAATTGATACCAACTTAGGAAAGCTCTGTCGGGTGCAGAAAAGGTCTAGGGTTTAGGGTTTAGGGTTTAGGGTTTAGAGCGTGGAGGGGGGAAGTCAAAAACCGCCTATTGCGGGTGTAGCTATTTATGCAGGATTAGGGTTTAGGGTTTAGGGTTTAGGGTTTAGGGGTTGAAAGAGGTAAAAAATATGCAGAAATTAAGGGTTTAAGGCGACATAACGAGTATTTATAGAGAAAAAGAATACTCTTAATTAAACCCTAAACCCTAAACCCTAAACCCTAAACCCTAATGCATGCAGGGACTGCCGACGGTGGAAGCCAACCATGCCATTTGTATTCCTTTTTGTTTGCATTTTCGTTGAATATAATTTCTTTTTGCAGACACAAGAAATTCCTTTTTATTTTTAGGGTTTAGGGTTTAGGGTTTAGGGTTTAGGGTCCAGGGTTTTTTTTTATGGGAAGTGTTCAGTACTGCAAAAGGCTTTTTCTTTTTCTCCTAATGAACACCGCATTCCCTGCGGTCTACCCAGACATTAACCAAGGGTTTAGGGTTTAGGGTTTAGGGTTTAGGTTTTAGGGTTTAGGGTTTAGGGTTTGGGATGCCGGTATCTATATCCTCATCCGATGAGGTGGTGGAGGGGGAGGAAACAAAATTAAAGAAATTAAATAATAATTATAAATCGGAAACAACAGCTGAGGTGTATAAACACCCGGATACCCCTGCAGGTAACACAAACCCTAAACCCTAAACCCTAAACCCTAAACCCTAGCATTGAATTAGGCACGAATGTATCGTTGGAGATGTACAACCGCCGTTTTGAATACTTCATAAACCCTAAACCCTTGCTTGAAATCAGGATTTTAGGAGTGGTATTTCTTACTTGTATATTTAGGGTTTAGGGTTTAGGGTTTAGGGTTTGGTGAATCCATGCAGCTGCATATTATGAACTTCTTGGAGTATCGCCAGATGCATCTGCAGCGGAGATAAGAAAGGCGTATTATTCGCTATGCAGACGCTTCCATCCAGACAAGTAAATAAGGGTTTAGGGTTTAGGGTTTAGGGTTTAGGGTTTGCGGGTGTAGAGGTACCCAATACACTGCAGAACTGTGTGAGGGTTTAGGGTTTTACTAGCGTTCTTGCGTGTGTGGCATTCTGCTGAACAAGTGAAAAATTAAAATTCACGGTCTAGCGTTTAGGGTTTAGGGTTTAGGGTTTAGGGTTTAGGGTTTAGGGTTTTTTTTTTAGGTGTTCTGGAGGAGTAGAAGAGTTACATAAAGTACAAGAAGCTTTTGCTGTTTTGTCTGACCAAACACAACGAATAATTATTGACATAAAAACAAAAAAAACAACAAAAGAAGAAAAACAACAAAAGGTTTGCTAAACCCTAAACCCTAAACCCTAAAGACTCAGTAGAACAATTGAAATATTAGGGTTTAGGGTTTAGGGTTTAAATACCTTAACTCTAAACCATAAACAAGATGCTGAATTCCTCGCAGCAGCTGTTAACCAGATCTAGGGTTTAGGGTTTAGGGTTTGGAATCTAGGGTTTAGGGTTTAGGGTTTAGGGTTTATGCGCTTTATTTGCAGATACTTGAGCTGGAGAAACTCCAACGACTCCGCGCGTCGCGAGATATTCAAAATATGGTCCTTCAAACCCTAAACCCTAAACCCTAAACCCTCATGGTTACTATCTTAGTTGTTTAAGCTTTCCCAGGTTCTTCCCCGTAAACTGAGGGTTTAGGGTTTAGGGTTTAGGGTTTGCGTTTTCTTGTGCAGCAAATCGAATATACAAATAAGATTGAACGAGAGAAATCTGCAAATGGTAAACCCTAAACCCTAAACCCTAAATCCACAACCAGAGACTAAACCCTAATTTACTAAACCCTGTACCCTAATATCCTCTAAACCCTCTATACAAAACAACTCCTAAACCCTAAACCCTTCCGCTGCAGGTTTGATTGTATTAACTGCCCTTTACGGAAACCTCCGGCTGAGCCCCGCACACCGGATGAGGGAAAATATCGGTAAACCCTAAACCCTAAACCCTAAACCCTAGCATGTAGAACAGGGAGGGAAAACATTCATGTGCCTCTTTATTAGGGTTTAGGGTTTAGGGTTGAGGGTTTGTTGTTTGCAGGCATGATTGAGAAGCAGCACCTCGAAGGCCCTTACATCGATGTGGCTATTCCTCTACAAGTATTTGCAAACCCTAAACCCTAAACCCTAAACCCTAAATAGTTGGCATGTACCCTTAAACCCTTTATTTTATATATTCAGCAATCAGTGTTTAGGGATGCAAACCCTCAAGTATAAACCCTCAGAAGCGGATGTGCATCCTTGGTTTTAGTCCTTCTTTAGGGTTTAGGGTTTAGGGTTTAGGGTTTAGGGTTTATGTACACCGCAGTGCCAAATCGACAACTCGCGTTTTGTCTTCGGTGGCGGCGCGTCTTCTTCCTTTGAGCAACTGCCAGGGTTTTATAATCCAGCTCCTCTTGTAAGGGTTTAGGGTTTAGGGTTTAGGGTTTAGGGTTGAGTTTGGGTTTGGATTGGTGCAGACGAGTGGTGTTTAGCGTTTAGGGTGGCTTGGCTACGCGTTAGGGTTTAGGGTTTAGGGTTTTTTAGGGTTTAGGGTTTGGGGTGTATTGTTGTTTTGTGCAGATGAGCGGAGGCGATATTTCTCTTTACGTTCTCTATACCTTCCGGGTATATAATTAGGGTTTAGGGTTTGTGGGGAGTGTTGCCATTAGCTCTTTTCCGTTGCTCCTATCCGCCTGTCGTCACGCTGAGGGTTTAGGGTTTAGGGTTTGTCTGTTTCTTCGTGTTTATTTTGTTTCTTTCTCCGTTCTTTCTTCGCCTCTATTTCCCCTGGCTGTCTGCATGCGTTGTGATCATTGAAGAGATCTTGTTCGAGGGTTTAGGGTTTAGGGTTTAGGGTTTGTGTGTGCAGGGCCAACTTCACGAGGTTACTGTTTCCGACTGTTCGCGTTTGGCCATTCCTCTGCGGTGTACGTACACCAGAAAACGACGAATAAAAAATACATTTAATTGTTGTTTTTTTTTATTTATATGTTATTATTTATAATATAATTAATTACTTTAATTTAATTAAAAGAAAAATAAAGAAAAATGACGTAAAATAAACCTAAAATTAATTAAGTGCAGGTTTCCACTTTTTCGGGTGTATGCGCAGCTCATCGGTGTTTAGGAGGAAACCCTAGAGGTCCTTTTTCTGCAGCAAATGCAGTATCAGAGGAATCGCAAAGGTATTTTATTTATTTATTTAATTTATTCATATTTATATTAGTTAATTAATTAATTAATGAAAATATTTATTTATTATATTTACTTATATTTATATTTCCTTTTTTTTGTCGTCTATACACTACATACACCCCAAGTATTATACATATTATCTAGCTGCCTATACACCCGAATAATAATATTTGTTTGTTTGCTGCAGCAGCAGCAGCAGCAGCAGCATCCGCTCCTTCTCCTCTCTGCCAAGCATTCTCGGAATCGGTACAAAACCCTAAACCCTAAACCCTAAACCCTAATTTTTTCTTTGTCTCTCACCACGGCATTTAAACCCTCGAACACTACAACGGGCTGCTAAACCCTAAACCCTAAACCCTTAAAAAGCTTGTCACGTCTGTACTTTGTCTTCTTGGTAGACTTAGGGTTTAGGGTTTAGGTTTAGGGTTTAGGGTTTGGGTGTTTTTTTTAGGTGTTTGCTGCACGGCCCTCCTTCTCTACCTCTTCCCGCTGCAGCAGCTGCAGCAACAACTGCAGCAGCAGCTGCAGCAGCAGCAACGCTTAATAGGCTCTGCTGCTGCTGCTGCCGTCTCATCTGTTGCTGCCGTCTTTTCTCGTGTCACGTCACGGCACAGGTACGTGTTTGCTGCTGCTGTTGCTGCTGCTGCTGTTGTTGCTGCTGCTGCTGTTGTTGCTGCTGCTGCTGCTGTTGCTGCTGCTGCTGCAGCAGTCCTCTTTGTGTGTGCTGCTGTGTCTGCATGCAGCAACAGCTGTTGAGGTATAGAGGCGAAGAAAGTTAATCAGGAGATGGTGCTGCAGCAGCAGCAGCAGCAGCAGCAAAAGCAGCAACGACAGCAGCAGCTGCTGCAGCAGCTGCAGCAGCAAAAGCAGTAATAACAGCAACAGCAGCAGCAGCAGCAAAAGCGATTAAAGATCGCGTGTTTGTCTGAATTTTTTGTCATTGTTTTGCTTGACTGTTTTTTTTTTAGGGTTTAGGGTTTAGTAAATTAGGGTTTATATTATTAAAAAAAAAAACCCTAAACCCTAAACCCTAAACCCTTGCCGAGGGAGCAAATTGTAACATTTAAGGGAATAAATAAATTATATACAAGTTTAAACTTTTGTTCATTAGGGTTTAGGGTTTAGGGTTTAGGGTTTAATAGGCGTACAGCCAGGAACCGCCACGAAGAATAATTAATTTATTCACTAATTAATTAATTAATTAATTAATTAGTTTAATTAATTAATTAATTAATTAGTTTAATTAATTAATTAATTAATTAATTAGTTTAATTAATTAATTAATTAATTATAAATAAATAAATAAATAAATGCAACAAGACGGAGACAAAGCAACAAAAAAACAAACATAAATATAGCCAAATATATAGAAGGAAGGAGAGTAAATAAACTAGATAAATAAATAAATAAATAAATAAATAAATAAATAAATAAATAATTTATTTATTTATTTATTTATTTATTTATTTATTTATGTAGCGCCATGATCCTTCATCCATTTAATCAAAGATTCATCCATCTCTGAACAAGAAGGCTTTACCTATAAATAAATAAATAAATAAATAAATAAATAAATAAATAAATAAATAAATAAATAAATAAATAAATAAATAAATAAATAAATAGATTAATTAATTTAATTAATTAATTTAATTAAATATATAGTTAATTATAATTAAAAATATACAGGAAAAGGAAGGAAAAAAGAGAGGAAAATACAACAAAGATAAATAAATAAATAAATAAATAAATAAATTAATTAATTAATTAATTAATTAATTAATAAAAGTAAGAGGGTAAAAGTAAGAAAACAGAAAAAGAATATAATAAATAAATAAATAAATAAATAAATAAATAAATAAATAAATAAATAAATAAATAAATAAAAGAAGGAAAAAAAGAAAAAGAAGAAAAAGAATAAAAGATAAACAAAGAAAGAGACATAAATACACCATAAAAGAGGCCAAAAAAAAAGTACAAAATAAATAAATAAATAAATAAATAAATAAATAAATAAGTAAATAAATAAATAAATAAATAAATAAAAGGTAATTAAATTAAATATAAATAAATAAATAAATAAAATAAATAAATAAATAAATAATTACATGGTATAATGCATCAATAAAATCATTGAATAAAATATTACGAAAGACAAGAGAAGAAGGAATTTCTTCTAATCCTCCGTAGCCCTCTATTGCCTCATCATAGCTCTTGTCTGCTGCTGCAGCAGCAGCAGCAGCAGCAGCAACAGCAGCAGCAGCAGCAGCAGCAGCAGTAGCAGCAGCAGCAGTAGCAGCAGATAGTAGCAACGAGCAGCAGCAGCAGCAACAATATAAATTGTATATATATGAGGAAATATATTTAATTAAATATTTATTTATTTATTTGTATAAAAAAGAATTAAATAAATAAATAAATAAATAAATAGAGGCAAATATAAATAAATAAATATAAATAAATAAATAAACAAAAATAATAAATAAATAAATTAAATTAATAAATAAAGATGCGTATACACCCGAATACAGCAAATAATATTAATACGTTAATAACGAACAATAAATTAAAATTAAATTAAATACACAAATAAATAAATAAATAAATAAATAAATAAATAAATAAATAAATAAATAAATAAATAAATAAA